GTTCTATGTTTCTGCTATTGTAAATAATGCTGCAATAAACATACATGCGCAGGTATCTTTTTCATAGAGTGATTTGAGTTCCTCCAGGTATATTCCCAGTAGGGGGATTGCGGGGTCATATGGGAGGTCAATTTTTAGACCTTTTAGGAATCACCACACTGTTTTCCACAGAGGCTGTACTAGTTTACACTCCCAGAAGTGTTCCCTTTTCGTTTCATTCTCTCTGCGTCTGTTGTTTTTTGAGTTATTGATGATGGCCATTCTGGTTAGAGTTAGGTGGTATCTCAGTGTGGTTTTAATTTACATTTCTTTGATGACTAGTGAGGCCGAATATTTTTTCATGTATCTGTTGGCTACTCATATGTCCTCTTCTGAGAAGTGTCTATTCATATCTTTGTAATGGGGCTGTTTGATTTTTCTTTTTGGCATGTTTTAATTCCTTGTAGAGCCTGGATGTTAAGCCTTTGTCAAATATACAGTTGGCAAATATTTTTTCCCAGTCTGTGGGCTGTCTCCACTGTCTCTCAATGATTTGTTTGGTTTTCCAGAAGCTTGTCAGTTTGATGAGGTTCCACTGGTCTGTCTTATCTCTTATGGCATGGGTACTTGGGATTTTGATCAGGAATTGGTTGCCAGCTCCACTTTCCATAAGGGTGCTTCCTGAATTTTCTAAGGTTCTTGTAGTTTAAAGTTTTACATTTAGGTCTTTGATCCATTTAGGGCTGATTTTTGTGTATGGTGATAGATAGAGGTCTTGTTTTAATCTGCATGTGGTCAGTCAATTTTTGCAGTACCCTTTACTGAATAGGTTTTCCTCTCCCCAGTGGTTGATGGTGGAGGCTTTGTTGAAGATGAGTTGGTAGAGAAATTGAGGTTTTGCTCCCAGAATCTCTATCCTGTTCCACTGGTCTATATGCCTGTTCTTGTACCAATGCCAGGTTGTTTTGATTACTGTAGCTTTATAATAACGCTTAAAGTCTGAGAGCATGATGCCTCCTGCTTTGGGTTTTTTTGTTTTGTTTTGTTTTGTTTTTTTGCCGAAGATTGTTTTGACTATTCAGAGTAATTTATGTTTCCATATGAATTCCATATGAATTGTCATTTCCAGGTCTGAGAAGAATACTGCTTGTAATTTAAATGGTATCGCATTACATCTGTAGATTGCTGGTGGGATGGACATCTTAACAATGTTTATTCTTCCAATCCATGAGCATGGAATATTTTTTCATTTGTTTGTGTCATCACTGATTTCTTTGAGTTGCGTTTTGTAGTTTTTGTTGTAAAGGTCTTTCACTTCTGTGGTTAGGAAGATGCCAAGGTACTTCGTTTTTTTTGTTTGTTTGTTTGTTTTTTTGGTGGCTATTGTGAATGGCATTGTGTTTTTTATTCGGGTTTATTTGGGTTGGTGTATAGGAATGCGACTGACTTTTGCACACATAATGCTTATTTTATTGATGATCTCAAAGAATATGCAGAGCAGCTTTTTAAGTCTCCTTCCTAGAGTCTTGTCAAATGTGAGATTAGCCAGAGAGCCTCATCTTGAGAATTGAGAGTGAGTCTCCAGACCTCAGGCACCACACTCTGATGACCTTGAAGACGCAGTGAGTTGGTGAACAACTGAGCATCTGGGGCTTCTGGAAGGCGCTCAGATGGACCATTTGAATCTGATGCAAGTTTGAGTTTTTGTAAGAAGACAAGTTCTACTGTTGATACATTTTTCTTCTCCGGAACAACAACACATCTGAATTCACTTAGAGCACGGCATTTGATCACATCAAATTGTGCGCCTGGAGGAGGTATGTGTAGAGACCGGTTACGTGGATAAAAAACATGATCTTCTTTCACCAGTGCTATGTGGGTGTTCAGAAGGACTAATGACTGGCACTGGTGATAACCAGGGTCATCTGCGACTCTCACCGTCGTGTAGAGCAATAACTGAACCTCTGACAGGGATGGGATGTTGGCTTTCATATTTCCATGAAGAAAGTAAATCATGTCAACCAAGGTAGTCTGGAATTTGGATGACAACTGGACTCCGTTTGCCAGAACTAAATCAGGGATTTCTGCTTTCCAATCAAGAGAAAGCTGAACCAGATCTTGCTGGAGCAAAGGATGATTGGTGCAGGCATCAGCATCAGACTCTGACATCAGGGCACCCAGGAGGTCATGGCACAGCTGTTGACAGAGGTTTTTGTTGTAACTGAATACAGTGAGAAGGCATTGTGCAGAGCTCAAGAGTCGAATGCTCTGCCCACCAAAGCCGATCTGAATCTCCTGGAGCCCAAAGAGAGGCAGAGCATGAAAAACGCTCATTGAGCCAGGGTGATTGTCCGACAGGACCAGAGCACATAAAGTTGACTGAAGCAAGAGCAAACATGCTGGCTGAGGGTCGGGTTCCCTGCAGTTAGCAACAGCGAGCCAGTAAACGCCTCGGACTTCATCTGTGTCACTCAGCAGTTCCGGGAGACAGCAAGCCACATGCTTAAGAAGGTCTCCCAAAGGGCACTCTTGAAGTTTCAGCATCTGGTCTGGGAAGTGCACAAGGGTCTGCTTAAATGCAGAGCTCTTTCTAGTATCTTCATATTCAAGGTGCAAAACTGAACTTGGTGAGAATCCTGGTAAACCTGCAGCCACAAAGGCAGAGGCCACGCAAGGTGCAGCACAATCTGTGGGCCTTGGACTCCCTACCTCTTTGCTTGTGCGGCTGCCCGTTTGAGCTTTGGGAAAAGAATAAGAGTCCTCTGACTGCACATATGACTTCCAAGGCACATCCTGGACTAAGTGCTTCAGAAACGACAGGCTTTTGACAAGCGTGGCCATGTGGGAGGGGAGTCTACTCGGGGCACACAAGCGCTCCATGAACCTGGTGTGGCTAATCATCTTTGTGCTGGCCTGGAGCAGGTGACTGCTGCTATCTCTATAAAGATCTGAGAACTTGTGGTAAAAATACCCCAGTCCTCTGTTTCCTTTTGTCCTGATAACTGCCCGTGACTCTGAAGAGTCTGTTTTTTCTGCAGCTAACTCTTCCTCGTCCTGCTGCTCACTATACATCTCAGAGGCCAGTGCCTTCTGAGGAAGGCTGCCAGGGGTACCCTTCTCACAAGAAACGCTTTCAGATAGAACCAAGCAGAGCACTGTGCTTTGCCTGGCCTGCGTGCCTTCACTATGCATAGACACTTCTTCGGACGTATGTTGTAGCAAAGTCCAGCTGGACTCCATTCCCAAGCTGTGTTCATCCTTATGAGGCATTGGCTCACCGAAATTTTCTGACTTGTCCTGAAAATCTTCTGCATCACTGGTGTTGCTTGTATCAGGAAAAGACATTTTAGGTAGGTTAAAACATTTTGGTTCAAAATAGCCAGCTTGCTCTGGATGAAGATGTTTGCAACCACTGTCCTGCAACACCTCCGGGACTGAGGACTCATCCTTTTGCTGGTGGGTTCTCTCTTGCAATGCTGAGGAAGAAGTTTCAGGGCCTGAGATGCCCTGCATCAGGGGATGACTCTGGTGGGAACTCTGGTTCACCTCGCTCCTCTCTTCTCTAAGGATGCCGGCCATGTCATTGGCACCTCTGGGCAGAAGTGGGAGAAGAGACTGTGCTGGACAAGACTGCTTTCTCTGTTCAAGGTGTCAAAAAAAGTTGAAATGGGGATATGGTATCACTTTCTGTGATTCTTTTGCACATGATGATTTTTGTAGTCATTGGTTTCATTGGTTTTCATTAGATTAATTCAGAGGTTAAATCAAATGCCTAAGCCATTCATATTAAAGCATGATTTAAGAATAGATGATCTGATTTATATATAGAGTATCAGTTTTCCATATTATATATCTTAGAAATCACTGAATATTTTGACAGAAATACATTGTATGGGATTGATCCACAGTATCCATCCATTTCTTGGTCTAGTATTTCATTCTCTCTATAATAAATCCCAATTTCTTTGATTCCATGTTTAAAAGGTCACATTTAATTGTGAAAATAAGTCCATGATCATGGGTCCAAAATGTAAAAGAAATCAGGGCATATGTAATGAAAATCAGATGGCAAGGTCAAAAGAAATGCACTAGTATTCTAACCCAGGTCACAATTCTCTTTCCCTCTGGTTTGTTTCTTGGGAATCTGTAATTATGTATGCCCTGGTTACATTATTGTCGCTGTTACATTATCATCACTGTTCTCTATGCATCCTCACCAAGGAAGGCTTACTGTGTGCCTGCTATGTGCCAGGTACTGTGGATACAGAGAAATGAAAGCCCAAATCTTGCTCCACACAGGGTCCTCTGCTAAGGAGATAAGTATTCAGAGGAAGATCATGTCATTACTGGAGGACTGGCAGGGTTGGGGTGTGGCCAGCACCAAAGTCAGTTCAGCCTACTGTGGGATATCCACTTCTCTCTCTGTGTTCAATAATGGATGGACAACATCTGGAAGACTTCCACCACCTAGTGTTTTTTTTATTTTTGTATTTTTTTTTATTTAGGTATATATGGGAAGGACATGCCCCTTAGTGGCAGAAAACACAAGTAAAATCTTACAAATTGTATGCCCAAACAAACCTTGATTTGACAAACTACCAGAGAAATAAGCTAATCAATCAAGAGTATTGCCTTTGTAGTACTGCCAACTCGGTCTATAAAATGAACAGGGTTTTTAAAAACATCGAGAACTACTCAGTTTCATTTCCAAGTCCCATATTTGATTCTGATTATATAATTCTGCCTTTTAAACGCAGACCAAGAGAAAGGATACTGTTACGAATGAAAAACCTGGCAAAGCTTCACCACAGCTACATGCCATTCAAATAAAGTCAAAGCAGTTTCAGACTGCAGGATTCCGTTTAATTTTAAGTCCACATAATAGCTTGCCTTCCCTATTAGTCATTAATCTCACTGGGACTTCAAAATTCTAATTATGCAACTAAACATTAAGAAAATTTAATCACACGAGCATGCCATAATTTAAGGCGACCCCATCAATCTGAAAAATCATTACTTACCTCATATTTTAGCTTACGTTGAATGGTGCCATTGTGAAGTTTCTCATTATCCTGAAAAGAAAATAAAAAGCCCTCTATATTAAATTATAGCAAGTTCATAGAAGGGGGGGCTGATTCGATTAGAAGTATTTTATGGGAACGAAATTCTAAATAAACATACTTGTCATTCAGCAATGATAGCTCTCCTATATAACTTACATTCCCAAGGTAAAATGACTCTATTGATCCATCTGCCTGTAAGGGAACTGAACCATTTACTCCTAATCTGAAAATCCTAAGACTAATATTAAAAACAAGATTTTTAAATAATATTTCTTAATTTGCAGGATAGAAATAAACTGTCTTTATTTATGTATATAAAATATTGTATAAAAATCTACTTGTCACAAATATGTATCTTCTCAAAGGCAAAATTATATTTCTACTTTGGATAAATTACAAAGTAAATTAAATACATATGGAAGTTGGTAAAAAAAAAAATTGGGAATAAAACAGAAACTGCTACACACAGAATTTTTATATATCAAATGAAGTAAATAAAGCATTTAGGAGACTTTATATTCACTTAAGAGCTTTACCAGAGTTACAAAATTATAAAATAAAGCTACTCTTGAATCAATACTATTTATTATCTGTTAAGCTCCTCTCAAGTAATATTTAATATTTTTCTAGAATATTCCACATCTACATTTTCTCACTAAAAAGCAATAATAAAAGACCCCACAATTACCACCATCACAATAGCTTATTTGCAAGGTCATCTTGAAAATAAGCAAATGTGCTACTTTGGTTCACCTTTATTATTTCTGCAGATGCACTGCTATCTTCACCAATCACATGATGCAAGTCCTGAAGTCGCCTCTGGACTTCTTCTTCAATGTAAGCACTGATCCTGAAAACAGTGGAGATGGGGTAAATTTGAAGGCTTTAACCACACAGGACATTTTCAGTTCCTTTCTTTGCTATTCTCCTTCACAACGAGGGGCTTTTTCATAATGTCCATATAACAACAACTTGGGACCTCAAATAATTTTTGTTTTTTTCTTCTTTCTTCTTCTTTTCTTTTTGTTGTTAAGAAATCTAAGTCACTATCTGGGTTTTCCCCAAAGGAGACAGAGAGGAGAAAGTAAGCTGGCTAGGCAGAGACAGGGAGGGTCTCAAGGAGAAGTAACACCTGTGGGAATACCCCTGTACCATCCCTGTTATGTAACTGTTAGCTAAAAATATGGTTAACCAGGATATATTGCTTAAAGGGACTTTCTGCTACTTAGACACAGGAGCAATAGCTTAACTGAATGTCCTAACTTGACCTTAGCTTGTTAACATAATACCTGCATTGCATTTTCACCCCACCCCAATGGACTTTTCTGTGTTACTTGTAAGTAATATTCAAGATGGCACAATAAAAGCTGGTTCTCAGGAAGTAAGGGGTGGATAAGATGCAAATGAGTAAAACAAGATAAAACCACAAACAAGCTCCTGGCACTGGTAACCCATTTTGGGTCCCTTCTTTTTTTTTCTGGAGAACTTTGTTGCTTAATAAATTCCTGCAACAATAGAACTGAACAAATAACAGAATATTGGGAATGGAAAGGAGACTAAATGATCTGCTCCAAATCTTTTCTGGATTTATATAGTGGAACACCTGCTGCAGGAGAAGAGAAAATCAGCCACTGGCTCAGAAAACTATGGCCTCAGATCTGATCTGAGACAGAAAAGCCCATTCACAGAGCCTTGGTTCCCTCACACAGAAAAGGATAATATAGATGATGGTTATTTCCACACCATAGGATCATGTATGAGGATGATCAAAAAAAAAAGAGGTAGACACATTCTCTACAAATCTTCATTATTCAGATTGGACAATGTCTTGTGTTCTTGTGTTGTTCCTGGTCTGTTTTGCCTCTTCAAACGGGTTCTCTGCACCTGGCCAGCAAGACCACATCTTAGAGGCCCCATCTCCAAAATGACTGTCACAGGACCAAGACAGAGAGGAAGCCAGCAACATTTGACCTCTGAAGCAGTTGACAACTTAATATCTGGTATCCCATAAAATGTAGGTTAAGTTGTATAAAGTAAACTCATCAATCAGCCTTAACCAACCCAATGGACTTCAATCCAATCTCTGGTCTATCTTTAGGTCATTCTACCCAGAGGAACCGAGAAGCTATGGAATTTTAGCTTATTGAAAATCTTTCTAGTGACTTAGACTGTCCAAATGGAGATCTTATTCAGTTCTAGACTCCTCTTCCCCAATTTTAAAGACACTGATTAGATTAACTATTTTAAATTAAATGGTTTCCATGTTTACATGTCAGCATACTCACTAAATAAATAGGTAAATCTGCATAAATACATGCATAATGCTGTAAACATTTCTATACAACTGTCCACAGTATTTGAAAATGCTAGGTAAGGAGATTAACATTTTAGGTCAGGTAGTCCAAATAAAGTATGTGGCATTGAAAACAAAATAATGTGCAATGGATCATGAGTGAAGGCCATTTACAAATCATCTCCCCTGACCTTCACCTGAATTTTAAGCCAGCCCCATGGATGATGCAGACCCAGATTTAAAGGGCTACAGTGGTCTATGCTATTTGGAATACATTTTGATAGCCAAATACATCATCTCCTAATATCCTGGGCTCAGGACTGCCAATTTCACATGTTCCCAATATATAGATGAGGTAAAGAAAAATAATCATTGATTTATCTGAGATTGCAAAGCCATAGAGCAAATCACAATGCCACCAAAGTTGAAAATCATTTTACTATTGTAGCTTCAGATACATATCTATTATATTCATGATCATTCTAAATATACTAGTAAAGTTTTTGTAATAAACATCATCTATTTGTAATCAATGACGTATAACTTAACTATCAACACAAGGTCCTTCCTCTATAAATGCTGCTTTGATTCTTTCCAACCAGGCCTCACTCACTTCGTTCTGGATGAGATGGTTTCCCTGTGCCTTTTAATTCTACCTTCTCACACTATCTGCAGATGGCCCCCAACAACTAGGTTGGCAACCACATGAATTCCCTTGTACACAGACTTTTTCAACAAATACAGCCTGCTCTCTCTATCAACAGTGTTGCATCTGTCACCAAACGTGAATCAAAAATTCTCAGGCTGCGACACCTGCATACACGAGGGTGTATGTATTTCCTGACTTCCTAATGGCAGTTCCAAAGGGCCAGCAACAGGGCTTTATTTGCAAATTTTGGCATCCAACGGCAGGATTGAAACTCATCCCCCATGGGCATCAAGGGACAAATTTACTTGCATCAAAATTCCTTGAAAGTGCCTAAGCAGTTCTCAAGTCCTTGACTTCTTTCAAATGACCCCTCACCCCACCACTGGTGGGGCAGCAGCTGACGAAGATAGAACACGTCTCAGGCACACACATTACTTGTGCCCTTTAATAGAGTCCTCCATATGAAAACTGGTCAATACAGAACAGCGAGCCATTAAATCCATGAAATGACAAGCACAGAATCAGATGAATGTCCAGTACCTGGGGTCCATCAGGGGGACCAGGTGAGATTTTTCAGCATTCCGTGGTAAGCTGAAAGAAGCAGTCTTTCCCTCCAGGATCCCATGACGGTCTTTGTGAACACCATCGACCTCATAAATCTTCTGCTTCAGCTGCTGGATTTCATATTCTAACCTACAGAGAGGGGGCCACATCATTCATTCATTCATAGTGTTTCCTGTGCATCGTCACTGTGTGAAACATTGTTTTAGAAACCATGAGGGATCCAAATCAGATTTCTATGTGCAAAGAGCTTTCTTCTCTAATAGAAAAGGTGCTGCACGCCCATAACACAAGGTTATTAGGTAATAATGGGACACAGGAGGCCCAGTCCAAGGACTGCAGGTACCCAAGAGTTGGAGAAAGCATGACCATCAAGGGCCAAGATATTCCCACTGTGCTCCAAGCAAGTCCTAGAGGGGGATGTGCAGGATTCTGAGGCCTCTAGTTCCTGCTGCAACAAAAAGTGGTTGTGGACTATGTATCAGGGTTCTGTTAAATATTTCTGCTTTACAAAAGAGATCTATGATTTAAAGAGTTTTTTAAAACCACCAATCCAGGAAGAATTCTATAGCCAAAGCAGTTCTAGGTTGAGTCTTCAGAGGTCAGTGGGAGTGTGGGCATTTAGAGATCACAGTAGAAGATTATACAAGCACAGAAATCAGTGTGAGCAAAAGGGCTAGGCCATGACAACCAGGAATCCACTTTGGCCAAGGCAGCAGGTGTGGGGAGGGTAAGCAGGTGGATCAGATCTAGGCAGGCAGGTTACGTTCCATGAGAAATCAAAATAAACTATAAGGTATACCTCCAATGATAAATCATACATCTGATCTGAGGTCAGCTGTGTGTAAGGCTGTTCTGCTGGCCCAGGCATGCCTGAAATCCAGGCTGTCAGGCTAGAGGGCCATGCCTATCAGCAAATTTAGCCCCAGGGAGCCTAAGACTGCAGCCCACTTGCTGTGTGAATTCAGACAAGTTATTTGAATCTGGTCTCAATCTCCTCATGGATCAGTGAGAGGGCAACTAATCTCTCAATTCCTTCAGCTCCAAAACTCAGAGGTTGTAGCTGCCGATGTCAACACTTGTGATGCTGCCAGTCCTCCGGTGTTACCAACACCACTCAATCGCTCTGTCCTGAACACAAAAGCCAAGTTCTCAACTCTTAGATGCGTGTTCATAGGATCACAAGGGTAAGTACCCACAGGACCCATAGAAGGCAGTGCTCAGTTTAGTAAAGTCCTTCATCTGTCTATGACTACCAAGGATTTCCTGAGCATCAATGTGCAGAACACATGGTATTGTCAAGAGGAGGGAATTAACAAAAAAGAATAATGTTGAGAGGCCAGGAGGAGGGCAAAGAATTGGGAAACAATTCTCTGAAAAGGTCTCAGCAATAGCAGGAAAAACACACTGATGTAAGCAGGTAAACTGGCCATGCTTATAGTTAAGGCGCCTCCTGTTGGGGCTGCTGAAAGGTGTTCTTCAGTGCTGGGGTGGTGGGAGAGATTCTGCAGGGCAAAGAGGGGCTTGAGTGGGGCCTTGAACCTGAGTGAGATTCATATGAGTGGCAAGAGACAAGCAAGACATCCCACATGAAGAAGTGGCCTTCCTGTGTGGTAGCCATGTGGTTAGGAGACAAGAGGGTTGGGGGCTCAGAGCAGGGTAATGAACAGACCTAGATCCAAGCTGTGGCTCCAGCACTTTCTATGTGACACTAATTCCCGGTGTGTATACAACCATTGCAGGCTTCAGTTTTCCCAACTGTAAACTGGAGATAAAAGCTCTGCTCAAGAGTAAAGGGCAATGCACTTAAAACACAGTTTGAGTTGCACTAGGCTGTTCTTCATGGCTTGCACATGACTGTTATTATTATTAGCATGAATATTATTATTAAAGGACTCTGAAAGAAAATATGATTAAATGTGAGTGTTAACGGTTTGTCTCTGTCATCCTTGCTATGGGCTAGTTGGGCTGCCTGACCCATGTCAATGGAGCAGCTGGAATGAGCAGGTGATGGGAAGGAGGGTGGGAAAACGGATTAAATCTTGTTCATAAAGCCCTGAGAAGCCAACGGGAGAGCCAAGCTTAGTACACTGCTGACCAACAAGGTCTCACATGAATCTAATATTTCATACTTGTGGAATTTCACAATGGACCAAGTCAGGCCACAGGGTGTGTCTGGCTTAGCCATGAGGATCATAAAAGCAAATAAAATAAAGCACAAGGGACATACTCAGTGGGAGCTGCAGGGACATCATAGTCAGAAGCGAAGAGCCCAGAATCCCTTCGACTAGAGTAGGTCTTAGCAAAGTATATTTCATCAGAGCTTCTAAGCTAATAGCCCTTTGGCGTGCCCTCCGGAGGAATGCTGACATTGGGTAATCACTTCTGTGGAAATCGCAATACTGCAACCACTATTATAGAGTATTAATACTGAATGGCCAGTTGACAAAAGCCAGGGATACCAAGCTAAAAGCTCACGCTGCATTCTTATTGCACACCGCAGGATAAAATTGAGAGCGTGGCCTCCACTATTTTAAATTTCCTGGGGCTGGATCTTTGTCCAGCAATTTAATTTACATAACATACCTGCAATCATTTTCTTAAACCTCCAACCTATTTCTCTGAAATAATAGCATTATGGTTTTTGATTGTTATTTTGCTGCTGTTTTGTCTGAGGGAATTACCAGAGAGCAATTGTAAATATAATCCACAGTCTAAGCTGATCATTTGAATGGAAGCTGTCCTGACCTTTTCCGGCAGGATGCTGGGTGAAGGCAACAGTAACATCTTTGAGGAGGTGTTGCTGTGTTATCAGCAACTGGCCCTGTACTCCTGCCAAATGTCAAGCTGGGGTCGTAGAGGCCAGAAGATTGGACTGTAGAAGCCCTCTCAAGGGTGCTGTGGGTAGGAGGAATACCAGAGAGGGTTCCAGCCTTTCAATCTGGGTTTCAGTTAAGAGCTCAGATGATTGAAGGGTCGAGAGCTAAAAGAGATAGACCCCTGATCTCATCCACCTCCTTCTTGTAAGGGGGGACACGAGATAGGAAGGAACAGGGCCAGGGTATGAGTCCCCCTTGCAGGACTCCAAACTGAATGATGTTGGCACATCAGGTGGCTGTCAGCCTTTTTGGAAGTCTTGGCATCGTTTCTTCAGGGATCCAGAAAAGGCAGTCTCAAATTCATGTATTTACTCATTTTGAGACCCTACTATCTGGGAAGCACAGTGACAGGAAATAGGTAGAAAAGAAGTATTCTCACTTTACCATGAAAAGAGTGCTAGTTCCCTAGTTTTATTTTTCACAAAACCAAAAATAATATCAGTAAATCACCAGACATGGGCAAATATCCCACTGTGTTCAGAATCATCCAGACAGTTTTGTTTGGTTGTTTGGCTGCTTGTTTTATAATGCAGTCCTGAGGTCTCCTCTCAATTATTGTGACTCAACGGGGGTGGGAGAAGCACTGATTTCTAGTTCACATCAGGCTGTAGAAGTCAGTACATCACAGCCATCCATAGACACTGGGGAAGAAGCTTTACTGTAACAAGTGCTAGTCATGGGAAGATTGGAAGGCACTAGAGAGGAAAGGAAAGGGGGAGGGGAAGGGATGAGGGAGCCAGGAGGAAGGAAGAAAGAGGAGGAGAAGGAAAGAGACAGAGAACAAGGGAAGGGGAGGAGACAAAGCAAGGGAAAGGGAGGCAAGTGGTTGAAATAGATAGGGGGAAAAGGGACAGAAGGAAAATGAGGAAGGGAAAAGAGGGAGACAAGGAGGAAAGAGAAGTGAGGAATCAAGGCAGAAGTCTACTCAGTCTCTTGCATTTATCTAAACACTAGACCACACACATTCCTCAGGTCAGGTGATCAGGAACATGGGCTCTGCTTTTGTTTGTGTGGTTTCTTTTTTTCCATTTTAGGCCAACTAGTCTAAAACAAGGACCCTAAGGAGAAATAAAAGATTGGTTAGGGGTACATTTCTAAGTTTCTGCAAAAATAAGTATTTGCCCATGTACTAGAGAATATACAGGTGAAATTAATCACTTTTTAAAAAGACAGTGAAAAACACACCCTGAGGGGAAGAAAGCGAGCAACCATTTGGCAGCCACTGTATGCCACACTCTCCTCTTCAGTGCCTCACCTCTGCCGGTCTTTCTCCAGGGCTTCCTGTTCAGCCTCCAGGCTAGCCCGGAGCCCTGACTGCACTACGCTGCTGCTGGGCAGAGTGGCAAGTTTCTGCTTCTGCTCCTCAATCTCCGCATCCAGGGTAGAGTGCCGCTGCAGGGCAGAGTGCCTCCTCTCCAGCCTAGCCACAGCCCGCTCCAGTGCCTCCCTCTGCTGCTTCTCCCGGGACTCGAGAATCTCCTTCTCCTTCTTCCTCACTTTCTCTTCCTGACGCGCGACGTTGGCTGTGAACTCGAAGGTGGCTTGGAGCTGCTGCAGCTGGCTTGCGCTGGCTCGGTGCTGCGCAAGCTGCTCTTCTTTTTCTGCCACTTCCTTTTCTACCTGATAGAGAGTGTTGTCTAAGCCCAGCGGGCCTCGGTGGAGGATCTCAGCTGTTCTCTGCTTCTCCTTCAGCAGAGCCGGCAAGTGCTCCTGCAGGATGTGCTGCAGCTGCCGCTGCTTATTCTGCAGCCTGCACGCCACTGGTTTCATCTTCCCAAAGTCTCGAGCCACCAGAGTGACATCTGCCACACACTCCTCGTTTTTTCCCAACACCCTCGATCCTTGGTCATGTTCACACTTTACATGCTCCAGGACTTCCTGCTCTTCCTCCAGCTCTTTTTCCAGGAGGTTTTTCTGCTGAACCAGGTCCCTCTCCAAGTTTGCGAGCTTAACGAGCTGCTGTCTCTTGAACTCGAAGAAACGCAGTTGAGCCTCTTCTAACCCCTGGCCGTCACTGTCCCCTCCAGCGCCAGCCTCCTTGGCGTGCAAGAGAGAGGCCCGAATGCCCTCCAGGTCCCTGTGCTCCTCCTCCACCCGCTGCACCTGCCCGCGCGGCAGCAGCTGGCTAACCTCCTGCTTCTCCCGGAGCTGCTCTTCCAGGTGTGCCATGAGCAGCGCCTGCTCCCTCTCCTGCTCCTCCAGCCTCTTCTTCTCCCACTCAAGCTCGGCGCACTGTTCATCTTTTTCTCTCTGCAGTCGGTCCAGCTCTTGGAATATCTGGATCTTCTCGGCCTTCTCGCTGCAGTCGAGTTCCTGGAACTGCTGGAGCTCTTCCTCCACTCGGAGAGAGCTCTCTTCCTCCCGCTTCTTCTTCTGCTGCTCCATCTCCTGCTGTTCCCTTAGCCTCTCCTCTTCGAACTTCTCCTTCTCAGCGAGTAGGTCCTTGAGCTTGTTCTCGATGTGGAAGCTGCGGCGTTGGAGGCTCTCCTCCTGCTTGCGAATCTGGAGCTGCACGATCTCTGTCTCCCTACGCCGGGTTTCCACCTCCTGCTGCATGCGCTCCAGCTCGGCCTTGTCCCATCTCTGCTTCTCCTCCATTTCTTCAATGAGCTTCCTGAAACGCAAAACAGGGGCCCATCACTACCAGATTGCTATGCTCACACACTGCTCTGATGGAAATGTTCTGGAAAAGCATAAACAACATGAAGCCAAACCCTCCATCAAAATAAAATGCAGGAGAAACTGTTTCCCTTTTCCATTCTCAGCAGCATTCTGCTTAGTTTCTGTATCCTTTAACTGTCCAACATATCATCGTCCTGTTCTCCTGAAGAAGCCTCTGATATCATTTCTTTGTAGAGCCTATAATCAGAATGTGTTATGCATGATATAATTTTAAAAGGCCCTGAGCTCAGAGAAAAAGAACCATGCCCAATTTAAATTTAAATGTGAATAATTTTATCCAGCCCAATGACTAACACTCAACAGAAGTTCAGTTACAAGACAGCATTAAGTAAAAATGCTTATGCTGCCCTCAACACATTGGGGTCAAACATCAAAGTCAAGAAAATCGACAGTTCATTGTTCCAGCTCAAATAACCACATGCCATTTAGCATTTAATCACTAGTTTGGGACAAATGGTAGTGACCAAATGGTCCAAAATATTAGTTTATTAGTGTAAAGTACTGAAAATGACTGGCGTCTCTATTAGAACATTGAAACGCACGATTCCGGGGGTTACACGCAATGCTTCTTCTCGGTGAACAAAGGTTCTTCACTGGGGGCTGTTCCAAAGCTTTGGGGTTGGGATGAGGTGGGTGTGGCCACACAGCCTGTCTCCTGGTGCACAAGCAGCTACCTGTACTATGCTGGAAACTAAACGTTCATTCATGGCATTTAAACTCCAGTTTCTACAAATAGATATCAAGCCTGCAGATTTTCTATGGCCTTCGTTTCTACTCCAGTCTCCATCCTGAGTCTATTTGTTGGCTTATTAAATATGATAGGAATAAAAGAAAAGGAGAAACTACAATTTTTTTCAGACAAAGAATTATTTCAAAAAATATAAAGAACTCTCCAGCAAATCAATTAAACAGCCAGTACCCCCCCACACATACACACACTCACCAAAAGGAAAGTGAGTAAAGAATAATAAGAGGCAGATTAGAGATAAGGAAATACACATGGCCAGTAACATAGGAGAGATATTTAGAAGGGGAGGAGGTATAAGAAAGGGAAATTGTCATTCTTTTGGGTTTTTAAAAACTCAGGCAATAGTACTAAGAAAAGATACACTTTTTGAGTTCACATACACAAATATGTAATTGGTGTATTAAATTTCATTGGTATATTAAATTCGTCTACGGACTCTATTCCCCATTAACGAATGAGTAAAACTACCAGTTGAAAAGAAATAACCTGCAGTCATTAGGCATGTAGGTAACAGACATAAGCGACAGGGAAGTATTGAAACAGACACAGATTAAATTGGTCCAGGATATTAACACAGGAATACACATACCGCAGGGGTGCTGAAACCCACGTGGCTTACCTTTTACTTTCTAATTTTTCAAGTTCTTCACGCTGTTGCCTCTCAAATTCAAGTCTAATAAAATCAAATGAAAATAAATCACTTTTCTGAAAGAGCTTCTCTCTCTCTCTCTCTCTCTCACTCTGTATATAGAGTCACATATTCCAAAAAGCATCAGTTTTTCAAGTATTATCTTTAATTACCATAGATTAGCAAGTTTAAAATGCATTCTTCGCTCTAGGACTATGATTAGAAATTAGACAAACTTTTGGATGCTTGAACTGAGGATGAAAAAAACAGGTTTTACTTGAAGGAAAACAAATAAAAACCATGGTATTGAAAAAGCAAAGTTAAACGCAATATCTACATGATAGGTACGTCTACTTCATGCAGCTTTAGTCACTGATGAGTACATAAAAACAGAGAATCTCTACCTTAGACAGATGGGTCCTTTTATAGGGAAAAGACTGCCAGGGAGGTAGAGAGAGAGAGAGAGAGAGAGAGAGAGAGCACAGACATCAATTAAGGAAAAAATTAACAGGAGGAACCATCAGGAGAAAAGTAGTAAGATACTAAAGTCAATAGCCATGCACAAATTGAAATATTATTTTATAAATATTATGTTTGCCAATAATTTTGTGAAACAACACTCCAAAAAGTTAGCTCTGCTATGTTTTACAACCTTCTCATGATAATCACAGTATGGATAATAACTGAGTACCATTAGTCATTGTAAACAGCAAAGTCATACTGCTACTACCTCATAGAAAGTTATACTGCATGTAGCTCTGTCAGGATCCTCCTATAATTAGTAGTTATGTGATATAGGAGTCACTAGGAGCTATGAGACCATGAAGAGATTTACCACAGTGGTTGCAGAATAAAGGGATTTAATTTAGGTCATTTGGGAAATTTAAAACAACTCTCTAAAATATTTATAACACAAGTGGATTTCTTCTCAAACATTATATTTAATTACTGCAAAGTTTCACTATTCCTATTAAATATCATGGACTTTAATTCCTAAGCTTATACATTTTTCTGTTGTGATTGAGGGTAGATACAGCTAAAAAGATGAACTACAGAAAAATTCACCACAAATTGTCTTCCTTGAATAATGTGCAAATCCAGATTGGCAACAGAGTCCCTTAATCATAAGATAACAAATATTTCAAATAGTTTTCCATCCAGTTTAACTGAGGCTAACACTGAGAGTAAGATATCCGGTGGCTTATGTAAGTAGAACAAAGTATCTATCACATGAGGCGTGCTATGCTGAGAGATTTACACACTATCTCCTTCTGTTCATGCAGCAAACTCTAAAGGGAGCAAACAGTATCTCCATTTTACAGATAAGGAATCCAAAGTTTGAGTACGTTAAACTATTTGTCCAAGGTCATACAGATAATAAGTCATGGAGTCAGAATTTGAACCCATGGCAGTCTGCTTCCAAACTACCCTCTGTTAATTCATTTTATGAACAATGTTCAAATTTTTTATATAATATAAAAGTATTAACTCTTTCACTGAAACTTATTATTTAGGGCTATATTTATCCTATTGCCAAATGAAAATCCTCTGCACCTTGTTACAGACATTGCCATCCAAGAGAAATTAGTCATATAATTGCAAATGAAAAGCGTTTGTCAGTCATGGAGGCCAGCCCATATGTCATTACATTAAATACGTTTATGACTTCATTAAAATTAATATATGATCATTGTCTTTTATTTAACAATAAACAGAACCTTGGGAAAGTTTCCAAGTTGATATCTCCAGACTTCAGTATAGTTTAGTCTTTCTAGAGGTATTTACATCAACAAAAGAATTACTGGATAAAATACTTTTAAAACCAGAGAATTTCCCTAATGAAACTGTCTTTACTCTCAATTTTTATTTTATCTTTGAACAGTAGGTCAGTGTGCCCATTAGCAGACACAGCTTAGATAATGTCTCTGGATGATGCCTTTGATAAAGGCTCTGAAATTGGTCCAGATGGGACAAAATCCTGGCTCCTGTGGGACCATGAGAAAAATCTCTCAACACTTATAGGTCTTAGTTTCCTCATCTGAAAAGAAATTCAAAACTAATTTTGGTCCCAGCAAATGAGAGGATCCAATGTGAGTACACACTGAGCACTCAGCAGTTACTAAATATTAGCTATTAGTCCTATGGGATCCACAGTACAGGTAAGGGAAGTTAGTCCGAGAAACAACAAGGGGAGTTCTGCCACTGGGACAGGAAGGAAGGAGGAAAGGGTGAATGAAAAGCAAACATTAAATCTGAAGGTATTGTTTTCTAAGGACTTCTGTATTCTCTATGAGGTCAGAAACAAGGCCCTCTGCCAAGAGTGAGGGAAAGGAGTGGTGGGGTTCAAAGTGGAGGAGTCAAGGACATTATTTGTAATGGTGAAGGGGTCAGTGAACAAGATAACTGACAGAGGAAATGAGCAAAAGGGCTGACTGGGTGTCATTCAAGCTTAAGCCCATTACTTAACAGGTATTGATCTCTGTGTCAGTATAGTTTTCTCCTGTAGCAAAGAATTGAGTTGCCTGAGTGTAGTAGGTCCAGGGCAGGGGAGACAGTCTACTGGTTCCAGAGTTGAGACTCTGGCAGGTGGAAGAACAGAAGGACCCTCTGATGATTTGGGAAAAGTATGGTGCAGGTGTTGGAAATGATGATGTAAATGGAGAGGGAGGGAAGTGGGACAAGACAAGTCTCACAGAAAAAGGAAGAAATCAAAGAAGTCTCCAGGTCGAAGAAGTGAGTTCTACTTAGGAAACTAGATTACAGAATGACTTATCCTTAAAGACTCATGCCAGATAACAGCATGACTTAGAAAGGTGGCTAAAGGCTTAGAAGGAGGTGTCTAGAAGGGGAGGAGAAGACAGCAGCAAGGAGCAGTAAGGAGTGGGATGGGCAGAGTGACCAGGCAGATGTCACAAGTGAGCAGATGAGACGGGCTCTGCTGGGCAGAGGAAGGGTGTCAGACAGCAGCTTGAAGGAGGATGCAAGAGTCCCTGGGTTAATGAAATGACTGGATCCTCCTCAGGAGAAGTTTTCATTTTAGAATATTTGATTGGAATGAAAAAAAGGGAAAGTATTTGAATCAAGGGCAGCTGTGACCCTCAGGGGCTTGAGGTCACAGTTCTACCCTCTCCAGAAGGGTAGCATCTACTGAAATGCAAAGCACCAAGTCAAGAAATCAGAGAGATTCTTTTTGAAAAAACTTTTTTATTAGATTCTTAGTGAAGAGGTGTGACTTCATTTCTGTGACCTATTTCTAAACAGGGAGAATGTCTGGTTGTTTCCCACTGAAAGAAGTATGTCTTTGGTAAATAATGATTCCTATTTCCTCAAAAATAAGAGTAAAATTTAAAAACAAATAAAGATGCTCAGACTTAGCTTAAAGTCACAAACAGTGTGAGGAGTCATCCCAAAGTCAGGAACTATTTTTAAATATGAAGTAACATGAGCTGTTGCTGATACTGTATAATTTCTGTTAAATATTATATGTTTACTAATTATACTTGAAAATATACCTCTTTCCATAATCAATGATAATAGTTCAGATAGTAAACCTCAATAGATTATAAAATATAAACGTATGTCATTATAAAAAAAAAGAGTATCAAGAATCATTGTATTTGAATGTGTCTTCATTTTAGAATAAGGGTAATTCACTATCTTACTTTACTGTAATCATCCTGACCCCAAATGCTAATTTCCTAAATGTTATAATTAAAAGGAAAACCACAAAGGGATTTAATTTTTACAGTTGTTTTTAGCATTTTAAAATGACATTTGGAAGTACACACACAGTGCTAAGTTCAACAAAAAAGCACACCATACAACCTATTTTTTTTTAGGGTGGAAAATATAGTTTATTTAGAAAGTAGATTAGAAAGAACGAGAAAAGGGATTCACCTTCCCAGACTGGGGAGGGGGCCAGACCTTACAGAGAAGTATGGCCCAACAATCTATTTTTAAAATAAAAAATAGCCTTTTACTTTACATTAAAAACTATCTAGCATTTTTAAGTGTAACTGTACATCTTGCAATTGACATTCCTGTTACTATTGGCAATGAGAAAGTGACAGAGTGGAAATTTCTCAGTTCCCAACATTACACCGAAAGTGAGACTGTGAAGAAAGAATGAAAAAGGGACAGAAAGAGACAGAGGGAAAGAAGGGAGGGAAAGAGGGAGAGAGGAAGGGGGGACAGAGGAAGAGAAGGGGGAAAAGAGAGGAGGGGACAGAGAGAGGAGGGGAAGGTGGTGGAGGGAGAGAAAGAAAGAAAGGAAGGAAGGGGGAGGGGAAGGGAAGGGGAAGGGGGAAGGAAAGGAAGGGAAGGGAAGGGAAGAGAGGGAAACAGGGAGGAAAATAGGAGGGAGGGAAGAAGGCAGGGAGGAAGGCAGGGAAGGAGGGAGGAAGGACTTCAGTGGATTGAAGCATATATATTTTTGCATCCTTGTGTGTCCTAATGGTGATCTGTTTTGTACCTCTGATGGTATTTTACTTTCTTAAAGTAGAGGATAGCTACTCAGGCCCAGCCAATACCTGAACCACCAGCTGTAGTGGGGTAGACAGGAAGGGTAAGGGAAGCTGAGCTCCAGCCCCCAACAGGCCTGGAAGAAAGATTCATTTGGCAACAGAGGCTAGCTGTGGCAGTCATACTACTCAAGTCCCTTCAGGGATGCTTTACTCTATTATCTCAGTAGGTATAGACAGTCAGAGAAGAAAAACATTCTTGGTCCATGGGCAGGCCTGAGTTTTTCCTAAGGCCCACAGACTTTTAGGCTATAGTCAAAACTAGGGATGGCTCCACGGGTGTGCAACTTGTGCAGCTACTCACATAGGCCCTGCACTTGAAACTCTGCTGGTACATCTTGAAATTCTTATGGCACCAGAACAAGATGCCTCAGATTTTCGTTATGTACTGGGCCCTGCAAATTGTATGGCTGGTTTTCTGATCAAGCGTATGTTGCTGAGAGAACTCTCAGCTTATTTCCTGGAATGCCTGATGGTATTCCCCATCCAGATCTGGTAGGGAACTAGGACAGAACTTCCATCTCAGTGGAAGATGTTTCACCTTCTCCTGATCCTTCACAAGGGATGAGGTTCTGACCGTAGTGGGTCCGGCAATGGCTTAGACCCAAATGACTGACCTTCTCACCACCTCACTGCCCCCAGGAACTTTCAGCCAGTCTCAGATCATGTCACAACTAAGCAAATCTCAAGGAGACTTAAAGACTAAAGAGAAAGTTAGGATTTGGGTGCTGAGCTTTGTGCTTGTCCTATCCACTCTTCTTCTTGACCTTAGAACCCTGACATTCTGGATGTTCTTTCAAGATTAGGCAGAAAGCAGGGAGGCTCAGGGAAACTAGAGAAAGGAAGAGCCCAGTGATTCATCCAGGTCTCTGACTTCATGGAAAGGCCTTGAACGCTTTCCTATGTGCAGCAGCTAG